GCTAAGGGCTTTGCAGGGGAGGTGGGATGGGGGGGTTCAATGATGTATTGGGGTGGGGGTTCAAGGGACTACGGGCTTGTTGGGGGGAAGGGAGGCAACAGCAGGGTGTCCGGGCGGTAAGAAAGAGGCGTTCAGCGGTAGTGGTGGTATACGGCTTGATGGGGAGAAGGGAGAGGGGGATCAAGCGCGTGTTGGGGGGGGAGAGGGGGCAATAGCAGTCCTTTTGCATCGTAGAGGCGCATGTTGCGGTGTTCATGTGGGGCGCTTGTTGGTGGTGCTTGTGGTCGCGGGCATAACAGCGGCGCTTCCGCATCGTAGAGAGAGAAAAATTTCTCCATCTAAAACACTGCCGCGGTCGATTCCCTTTCTAACACAGGCTGACTTGACCAATGAAAGAAAGTATACACGAAATCATGGAACCCAACGGATCCGCGAGTTAATAGAAATCAACGACAGACAGGTGCACGATCTATGTAGAAAAATCTCAGTATAGTCATGGCCCGCACTGAAGAAAGTTTAATTTTGGCCTCGAATCTTAGCCGGGGGGTCGTTTCACAGATTCGTCTACAGGGTACCCCCACGGCGATAGTATCAGGTTGCTAGTGTAGGCTTTCTAGACAGAGCGCCTGTTCATACATGGCCAAGTTCATGTTTGTCTTTTTTCAGGGTGAATTTCGTAACTCGCAAGGTCTTGAAGATACGGGCTGTTCTGAATCTTTGCAAGCACCCGAGAGCCTGCCTACCTGTGATGATGCCAAAAAAATTACCGCAGGAGGCGGACAGATGGCCCCCCCCCCCCCGAGACTCGATTGCTCCATAACCAAGTGGGTGCCAAAAGAGCCCGATACATGCGTCTCTTCAAGGACAGTAGTCTTCGACGAGATGTTTCGAAGACCACCATGTTTTGGCGTTGGCAAAAGCTCCGCTCTGTGGAGAGTTTGCAGCCAACGCCGTATGTACGACGGCGGCGGTCGAAACATCTCGTCGAAGACTACTATCCTCGAAGGGCCTATAGATCGGGCTCTTTCCGCGCCCACTTTGGTTGTGGAGCGATCGATCGTTGACAGTCGGTCTACGGGGGTGCCGTCACACTACAGTGCTGGCAGTTTTGCCAAGCCGCCCATGGGGCACGCATGGACTGCCCATGGGTGGGCCAATGGCCAGCCCATGAACTGCCCATGATTTGCCCACCATGGGCGCTTCAACCTAGAACTTCGCCACCGGCATATCAACCTATTTAGAATGTATGTGGCACAGCCACCGGCACATCAAAAAGTCGGTCTACAGTAGCAGAGGGGTGCCACCTCTCCGCCTCTTACAGTACGGTACAGCAGTGCGTGGTTTCGGGGAGAGAGTTCGTCGAGTCTTATCTATGTTTGTATTTTTTCCTTGCACGACGCGTTTGCCGGATGTGCTCGCGTCGCCGCGTTCTCTTCATGATGCATTTTCGTGGCGCAACAACACACAATCTTATCGATCTTGGAAAGATCGCGCGGATCCGCGCGCCCCCTGTTGGTTGGTGCGCTCGTTCGTTCGCCAGCAGCACCCTTCCTGCAGGTAGGATACTTTCGTCCGCCTTTGTAAGGTACACCCCGCCCATTCAGACTCAACCTAAGCCCAGTATCCAGTCGGTATTTACGTATTTTGCGCCATGTGTTGACGAAAGACGAATACTTCAACCCATCCCCTTCAACTATCGTTGCAAGTACATCATGTACCTCTAACGGGTGCAAGTCAAGTCTCTCCTGTGACCGCTGTACTGCTGTATGTAAAAATTATAATTTACTCTCCCCCGTCGATGGGTCTCCCTCGCCTAGCTAGGGCAGCGCAGCCGTGCAACCGAACAATCCCGTATTCTTCGCAACGCTTCCCGACAGCAGTTGCGAGCTACGAGCTCCCTGCTGCAACCATGTGTCGAGGGAAATTTCCTGCTGCAACCTTTGTCGAGGGAAATTTTAGTTTGGGATCATCGCCGCACATCATATGCGAACAGGAGGAGGGGGTTCAACCCCCCCTCCAATGTGACCCCGGTTGGGTCGTCTAGCTGGTAGAAGTGGAGAATAGGGGCCAGAAGGGCAGACGACAGAGTCCAAAGATGGTCTTGTAATAAAAAAAAAATGCATATCCCAGGTTGCTGCTGGCGGGTTCGGTTTTGTGCACTCTTTTTAGGCCTGTCCTCCTTCGGCCGTTTTGCTTGTATGACGGAGAATAAGAAGGTGGAATTACTTGAAATTAGGCTGAGTCTTACGGCGTGATTATTTCCGGATTGGATTTGGGGGGGGGGTCCTTTTCTGAGCCAAAAAAATAATTTGGGCGTCTTGCTACATTTGGCCGTCTTGCTACAAGACGGTCGATTGGACCTGGATAATTTTTTCGGTGCAGGCCACCCCCCCCCCCCCCCCCCCCCCCNAAATAGTCCATTTGTTACGATGTCTTGTTTTAGGCTTTTTTTAGGCTGTCTTTTTTTCAAAAATGACAACTGGTCAAATAGCCTGGTGTTACAACGTCATTTCTTGCTAAAATATGACAACGAACCTTATTTGACAGCCTATAACACGGGACTATTTGGCCAGTTGTCATTTTTTGAAAAAAAGACAGCCTAAAAAAAGCCTTAAAAAAGACATCGTAACAAATGCCCTAAATTTTTTTAAGGCTTTTTTTAGGCTGTCTTTTTTTCAAAAAATGACAACTGGCCAAATAGTCCCGTGTTATAGGCTGTCAAATAAGGTTCGTTGTCATATTTTAGCAAGAAATGACGTTGTAACACCAGGCTATTTGACCAGTTGTCATTTTTGAAAAAAAGACAGCCTAAAAAAAGCCTAAAACAAGACATCGTAACAAATGGACTATTTAGTATAGAAATAAAGTTTGTGTATCTAAATCGAAAATAAAACGGCCGATGGAGGACAGGCCTAACTCTTTTCCTGTATTAAAATCAAGTCAAATCTAGCGGCGGCTTTGCTGTGTGGGATACCTTTAGGCCGTTGTGTGGGGCTGGCTCACAACCTAACGAAAGCGAGGGCAAACGAGGCGCAGATGGAGCAGAAAACGACAGCAGCAAGACTGCTGCACAAAATGCAACCAATGTCCATGTACAATGTAAGCAACGCTCGGTTTCGGGGAAGCGCTTGCGGTTCGTGGATCACCGCTGCTGCTGCTGCCGCTGCTGCAAAACAAACGAGCGCAATTCTTTCACATACCAGCAGATACAAGGCACTCTCTCTCTCTGTCTCTCGCTCGCTCGCTTGGGCGTAAGAGCTCCAAGAGACTGGTGTTCGGAGAATGGCACAAACAATAGCAACATGGACGTCGCAAGCACCGCCGTGCAGTTCTTGGGTGTAGCGGTAGACCTGCGGCCTTTTGAGCAATGATTGATATCTTGCCTTTTGAGCAGCCGCAGCCGCAGCAGCAGCAGCAGCAGCAGCCGAGCGCTGGTGGCATCGATATACTCCACAACTTTGTCGCGCCCACATCTCTCTCTCCCTCTCTCTCTCTCTCTCTCTCTCTCTCTCTCTCTCTCTCTCTCTCTCTCTCTCTCGCTTTCGGCAACAACTCACCCTTGATGCCCAGGCTTGTCTTCCCCTGCTGAACGGCCATGAGTGCATACTCGATCTGCAGAAGCTTGCCGGTCCTGCTGAAGGTTGTGAGGGAAAAGCTATACGCCGAGTCCCCCATGGTGCTTAGAGGTGCTTCCGCCTCTGCCTCCCCTTTCGCTAGGGTTGTCTCACAGCAGTAGAATAACCAGAAGTCCTGTGGAAAAGGGCAACACGATTGTCGACGCTGCTGCTGTGCTCCTCCTCCCTTTCCTGTGCTTATTGATCTCCGGTCGACTGCTGTATCGACAGGAGAAACACGAAGAACTCTGGAGTAGGGGTGACGCAGACCATTCAGACTGATTTCTAACATCCCCTAAGTATTGTTCATTCATGCACTCTGTAGACCCCCCCCCTTTCGCGCGCCGCAAAATCTTAGTGTCACAGCAGCTGCTTGATCACACCGTGTCGGAAAAGAAGCGTTAGAGCGGAGCAGGTACCGCAGGGCAAGCGAAGCAAGAATGAAGTTCTCCGCGACATCCGCGCTGTGCACGGTGATCCCCCTTCTGCTGGATGTGGGGTGAGTGGGGCTTCACCAAAGATGGATTTGCCGTGGTGGCTGTGCAGCTCACCTACCTCTTGTTGTTGTTCTAGAATGATGGCGTGCCCGCGGCAACAGACCTGCTGCCCCTGTTGCACGCGTTTAGCCGCAACGGCAGGCAGCAGCGGCGGTGGGACCCCTTTGCGACGTGCCCCATCTTTTCCCAGCCGCACTGCCTGGCGTTTTGCCCTGCCTGCCACCCGATCCTCATCGCCCATGTAGATGATGTGTGTGGTCGTGATGCGGAAATCTGCTTCCCGCCGCCACTCAACAACGTATCCACATCTCTCCGCTCTTCGGTGGCCCATGGTATCGTCAACCGCCGCTACTATGCATGCAATGCTTTGAATCGCTGGGGGTGGGCGTCGTTTAATCCGTTTCTTGCTGCCCCCGTACCTGCTGCATTTTTCTCAGGACGGCCTTGTAGCTGTCGGATATTAGTTTTGCTTTGCGGCTGGAGATACAGCACGCCGGTGTTTTTTTTTATGGTGGTAATGCTGGAGCTGCTGCGGCGTTTTGGTTGGTCCACGCGGCGAAAGACCCTTTTTTTTTGTCCTTTTTTTGGACCGTAAAGCCGTCATCATTGCCACGTGATATTGCTGCTGATGTATGGCGCACACACACGAGGCGCGTTTTTCATGCCTTCCTTCTCGATAGCATTAGGTTTCGGACGCTGCTTGGGCTTCGTGTCTAACGTTGCCCTGGGCGTACGTAGCCAAAGGGACCATTTCCAAACACACAACAATCTCTGAATCTTCGCCTCTTGACACTGGCTGGCATCGTGGTTGTCACACTACTCTCCTAGTTACCATGCGGAAGAGTTCAGATTTCAAGACCAGTTTCTCTCATGGCCTGTTTATTAGTGGATTCATACATCACCCTGCGTTCGTCATGATGTACAGAAAGTAATTTAGACTTTTGATGCACACAGAAGTGTTTCTTTCGTGAAGCACGCCGTCGCTTCCCGAGAGCGCTAGAGCGGCTGCGTGTCCCACGGGCTAGGTGAATCATGTCCGTTTCGGCTGGAGAAGAGGGATTGGTATCTTGTAGCGGCGGTTTGGTTACAACGGCAGCAACACGGCGCCGAAATTGAATCCAGATGTCTTGCGGAGCCTGTTACCCCCACGGCGGAGATATCCCTCTCGGGAGACGGTAGAAACAGAGCCGGTGCAGTCCTTCCGCTCACGCTATTGTGGGGATTAGGATATCAATGCCAATTTATCCATCCAATACCAGTCTCTGTCGTATCTGGGGGGAAAGATGAATTTTGTGTTGAAAAAAAAAAAACTGGTGATGTTTCTACCGTTTGTCACAAAATGCGCACACAACCGCACACGTCCTCCTTGGGTCCATATCCACCGAATATAACACACCAGCTAGTCCTGAGAAGGCAAAGCTCACACGCGCAGATATCTACCAGCTTGTACGCGAGCAAGCGCGGAAGTGTTTTTCAGACGTATGAATGGGGTTCCGTCAGCCGACCGGTTTGTAGTCAACCTGACACGTGACACGTGCGGACACAACCGAACGGTCCGTGGGTGTCATATTTTCGACACACAATAACGGTGGTGCGTTGCTGCTGCCAATCGACCTCCCCAGCTGATTCTGGGAGAGGACAAACAAAAGCTCACCCGGTCAATATTAGTACAAGGATGCTGTGATGTGTTTGTATGCACACCACGCGGGCAAACACAACAGTTTTTTTTTTTTAGACTCGCGTGATTGAGGTTTGTGCGCACAAGTGCATGTTTCGTTTGTTTATCATGAGAAGAACGCCGCGGTTGCGGGGGTAGCCGTATAGGTGATAACATAACACAAGATACCACACAGCCCGGGACCATTTTTCAAAGCTCGGTTGCTTTGCACCAAAACAAGCGGCGATGCCGAAAATGGCGGTTTGGTAACGGCCTCATCGACAGCATCTCGTCGTCGTGGAGTGTACTTTACTCAAGCCTTAGAATTCGGCAGGGGGGGGTTGTGGTGTCTTAACGCCACCTACGGCAGTCCGGTTTTAAGACCGGTTGCCCTTGTCAAGGCCGGTGAAATAAATCGCTTGGCCCTTGCCACAGCTAGATGGAACAATCAAGTCATCTCCCTCGTGCTCTGAGAACAAAAAGGTTGAACAAGATGTGACGCCCCGTGGACCGATAAGGTTGCATGACGTAAGATATCACATCCCATCGACCGATCTTCAAAGCTTGGATTGCTCGGCGGGAAAAGGCAGTGTCGGTGCCGAAGATGACGGGAGGCGTTGGAACTGGTCGCGTCGAGAGAAAGTTTTCCGAGCACGTATCGTTTGCCTTCTCGGCATCCTCTTGGTCGTGGAGTATAGAAGCTTCGAAAATCGTTCGAGGGAGTCGGGTATCTTGCACAACCTACGGCACGGCCGGGTGGCCGAGGGGAGGCCGGCCGAATCCCGTGGATATGTGTGTTGTGTGTTTTTTCGCCTTGTTATGGTGACAGCAGCCCTCCCACTTGTCGTGGTAGACATGTACGACACCTTTTCAGTGCGGGTAAATTACTGCACTTCAGGATACTTTTTTCATACAACTACAGCCACATCCAGGGTAAAAGCCGGGGCTTTTTTCTTCGTTCTGCTTTTGATCTTTTTCTTTTCGCGCCCCACCTTAATCATGCGGCGCGTGCTGAATTTAATTTTTTTTTATTGCGAGAAGAGAGACTCCGGCCGTCCCGTTCCCTCCTCAACGGTGCTAACGTCCAAGTTTGGCACGCCCCCCCCGCCCGCCCGCGGTGCCATAATCATGAAACCGTAACCTAACCGTAACAACAAGCAGGCAGAAACATGCTTGCCGGGAAAACTCGATGACGAGGGCTGACAGAACCCCCCCCTTCCCGGCGTGCCACCATCATGTTGAAACCGAATTCCAACCGTAACAACAGGCAAGCAAAGATCTACTTCCAGGAAAAGTTCGACGACGAGGGCTGGCGGGAGCGATGGACGGTGCCGACCAAGTGGAAGCCCGCGGACGAGCTTGGGGAGTGGGGGTGGACGGCCGGGGAGTGGTACGGGGGCTCCGCGGACGACAAGGGCATCCAGACCTCCGAGAACAATAGGTGAGGCTTTGTTGCCTCTAAGAATGACGTATTTCTTGCAAATATACATCGAATCAAAGACGGACTATTATTAATTGTCGTTTGAGATGAAACCACATGAGTCGAAGGGCATGTGTTGCGAGGTCTTGATGGAAGAGGCGTATGTACACCAGCCCTGGCGAGATTCTTTCACGTTATAGTAGCTCCGTGCAGCGACCTAGGTCCACTAACAACCTAGCTTGGGGTGTTGGGCAAGGGTTAGGGGTTGGTTAGGCCTTGTGAGGCCCAGCGCCATGGTGCTGTCTGAGGCCTGAAAAAACCCGCTGTGGCTTCGGTTTCGTGTCTACCTCCAACCACAACCCAAAAATTGTTGAACTGGCGAGTGCAAGAATCTCGCCAGCGCTGGCGTGTTCACGCCTTTTGGGTCCTGATGTAGCACGAGGCGATCCAGACGTCCGCGGGCAGTGGGGGAGACACTGCTGTATGCCTAGGAATCATCATCTTTTTGGCTGTTTTCAAGGTTGTTTGGCACGGGGGCTCTGCAGATAAGGGGACAATCCTGTCTTCCGAGAGGAATAAGGGATATTGAGGTTGGAGAAGCAGAATTGGTTGTGCTGGTCCGGCAAAATGAATGAAGTACAGCAGTAGCGGGCGCAGCGGTCTTGCCGACATGTATCCCGAGATTTTACCGGCACTAAAAGCGGACGCAGGCACTTTTGAAAGTACGGAACAACTTTGTACTTAAGCATGTGCGAGTCGGAAACCACAGGCACACACTGCTGTCCTGTTTTTTGGGTTGTGGCTTGCTGGCTTTTGATCCGAGCTCCCCGCATCTTTCGTGTTCAAAGTCACAGGAAAGCTTCGTTTTTTTTGTCTTGGTGCAATCTCTTCGCTTTTTTTTCACTTTTTCTCTCTTTTCTGTGCCAATTGGCCTTGTTTCTGCTTGCGTTGTGAAGTACCAAGATTGAACCAAGGGGGTGAACCTCTGCGCTCCGGCCCGTGATGGTGACCCCTAGTCTCAGTTGTTACCTCGCAAGCGCGCAGAGGGAGTGGAGGACTCCAGAATATCTGTCGTTGATTTCTATTAACCTGCGGACCCCTCGGGGCCATTTTATTTGAGTGTACCTTTATGGGGTAAGTTAGCCTGCGACCCTGAACGGTTTTTAATGTGAAGACAACAACAACATCAACAACAACAACCTGAGCTCGATATTGATGTTGAAGTTGATGTTTGGGACCGTGGCATGTCGGCGGCGGGAGGAGAGGGGGGTTCCCCGTCAGAGAATGGCCCTGTGCCATCCATCAACGTGTTGGCCTACCGTATATGACACAAGATAACACACCCCCTTGACCGATTTTCGAAGCTCGATTTCTCAACTGCCGGAACAGTCACAGCGCCGAAAACGGCGGCGTTGAAACCGTCTCGTCGAGAGCTTTTCGAAAATTTATTGTTTCGTTTATGCATCCTCGTCGTCGTGGAGTAATCGAGCTTTGAAATCGGTCAAGGGGTGTGTTAACTTATTTCATACGGTATTTACCGCTTGTAGGGAGAAAACGCAGGAGTGTGATCTCTGATCAACCTTTGTATAATTATTTCATTTTTTCAGACCGAGGTTTACTGTTTTGCTTCTCGACTAACGACAACCAGCAAGCATTTTTGGACAACGCGCTGTCGCCGGTTTCGCCGGGAAAACGAGCGTCCGCCCAATGCCCGGCAGGAAGAACGAAAAAAATATCCTCAATCGATAACTTGTGCAGAATCAGCCAGGATCGTTCGCGTTGTACTGATGGTCTCGTAGGCATTGTCCGAAAGCACCCACTTGGCGGACTTCAGCCGGTTGTTTCTTGTGTTTTGGTGGCCCGCTGTGCGACACGTCCTTTTATCACGGGTGGGTCCTTGTTTCGCCCCGCCTTCGCGAGACTTGAAAATTTAATGAGGAAGTAGAACGGGGAGGGGGGCGTAGACCGTAACCCTTAACCCTGACCCTCTACCCCAACTTGCCGTATTTTATGCTTCATCCAACGTGTTTTACTTGGTCGAAAACCCCTCCGGAGGCTACTGCTTTTCAATCATGGCCCGGTGTTTGTTTCTCACACCCTTGGTTGCACCCTTGATCTCAGTCTCTTATTTCTCGTGTGTCGCTCGCTCTGCAAAATACTCGCGCAATTTTCCATTGGTCGACGGGTGTTCCGGGTCGTCCGCGAAGTATTCGGGGCGTTCACCAATGACTGAGGCATTTCTCCATTTACATACACACCCTCCTGCAAACCTTTCCATTTTTTTTGCGTGTGTGCTCATTTTGTCCAGGTTTTACGGATTGTCCGCGAAGCTCACGGAGCCGTTTACCAACGAGGGGAAGGACCTGGTGCTGCAGCTGTCCATCAAGAACGAGCAGAAGCTGGACTGCGGGGGCGCGTACATCAAGCTCACGGGCGACATGGACCAGGACTCGTTCGGGGGGGACACTCCGTACCAGGTGATGGTTGTTTTGGTGCATTAACCAGTGGCCCTCGCGTTTTTTTGTTTTTGGCGCAACGTATCCACCTTTTATCTATAGAATGGACACTCCGTACCAGAAAATGGTTGCTTTGGTGCATTTTTCAGTGGCCATCACGGTATCTTTTTTTTTTGTTGATATGAAACATCGAGTCCACCTCAATCCTCAATCTGAAGAAAATACACTCTTTACCAGGTGATGGCCCTCGCGGTTGTTGGCTTTTGTTTTGTTGTGAACATGACACAACAAATCCATCTCTATCCATAGAAGAGAGTATTGAAAGATAGATTGGCAATGAATCCACAGCGTCAGCGAAGGCTACCTGTATTTCCACGACGCATGTTGGCGACAAACATGCGATCGGGGACGTTGGGGGCGCCGTGTGACGGGTTGTTCTGGTGCATTTTCCGGTAGCCTTGGCAAGGTTTTTCTGCTTCGTATTTAGTCAAACATGTTGGACGTGAAAAACATGCAATCGGGGAAGTTGGGTTAGTTAGCGTTGCCTAAACGTTGTTGAAATGATGAATTCTCCCGTTGCCTACGATAAAACCAAACAGATCATGTTCGGGCCTGACAAGTGCGGCACGAGCAATGCACGCACGCACGTGATCTTCAACTACCCTCCCAAGGGAGAGGGAGACGACGGCAACCTGCTCATCAAGAAGGACGTCAAGATGGAGAAGGACCAGGCCTCGCACCTCTACACCTTGCACGTCAAGCCCGATGGCACCTTCGAGGTAGGGATAGCTAGCGCATCGTTGCTGGTGGTGCATGTGTTTGTTTTTTTTGTGTGGTTCACATTGTGTTGAATGCTGCTGTTGTTGCTGGGGTTGATCTGATTGCTTTGTTGCTGGGGTTGATGTCGTTGGTGAAATCTGTTGCTGGTGGTGCTGTTGAGGATGTAGTTGCTGTTTTTTGGGGGTGCGGGTGGGGGTGTTGCTGCTGGGCAACGTCTTTCGTTGCTGGCGATGATCTGGTTGCTGTTGTCGTATTTGCTGTTACTGCTCGTGCTGGTTCTGTGGTCGTTGTTGCTGGTGCTGGTGCTGTCGGGGGCTGCCCTGGGAACGTGAGCTTGTGGGTTGGTGCCCCTCCCTCGCGTGCCTTTTCGGCAATGATGGAAGCTCCTTGCTGAATGCGAAAATAAACCTACCACTTAATAACCTCGCGCGCCGATTTCGGAAGCAATCAAATCTCACTCTCTCAAATACCGAAAAAATCCCGGAGTTCTACCGTTAATAACTAGACCTCGCGTGCTGATTTCGGACGAAAATAAACGCCTTCTCATAAGCCTCGCTTGCCGATTTCGGAAAAGTGAAACCCACTTACTCTTAAATGGTATTATTGAATCTCGCGTGCCAAATTCGAAAGCAAACCAAAAACTCATCTTCCCACCCCCCAAAAACACACACACAGGTGTTCATCGACCAAGAGAGCGTGCGTGCCGGGTCCCTCGAGGACGAATTCGACTTCTTGGCCCCCAAGGAGATCAAGGACCCCGAGCAGAGCAAGCCGGAGGACTGGGTGGACGAGAAGAAGATTCCTGACCCCGAGGATGTGAAGCCGGAGGGGTACGACGACATCCCGTCCGAGATCCCGGACCCGAAGGTGTGTGTGTGTGTGTGTTGTGTGTGTATCCATGTTGTTAGCATCGACCGTGCCAACTAACCGACTGACCAACTAAATTCGTCAGTCTTGGTGCGGTTGAAAACACAAAAGAAGGTGTGCGTTTGTGTTTTTATTATTTGCATCGACCGCCCTAACCGGCTGACGAATGAAAAGGCGTTCGTCTCAGTGCGATTGAAAACACAAAACACTTGGTATCTGCCATGAGCTGGCCCGTGAGGGGGCAGCATGGGTTGGTGTTTGTGTGTTTCCGTTCTCAACACCGACAGCTCTTATCGGCCGACCAATGAAAATGCGTCAGTCTTAGTGCGGTGAAAAGCGCAACGAAGGTGTGTGTGTGTGTGCGTGTGTGTGTGTGTGTCTTGTGTTGTTAGCATCGACCGCGCGGGTCGCTGCCGAGCCATGTCCGGCTGTCTTCGGTAGTGTCGTTGTGGCTGCTGCTGCTGCCGCTGCTGCTGCTGCTGCTGCTGCTGCTGCTGCTGTTGTAATAGTTATGAGGTTGTTCTTCGGGTCACTCTCTGAGTGCAATGCGAATGCTTTCTTCCTAGCTATTGTGCGGCTGTTGAGGCAACCAAATCTAATTGCTGCTGTAGCTCAACGATTATTTGCTCGCTCTAAGTGGAGGTACAGCGCAGCGTGTGTTTTCCGGCAAATGACGAGTTTTGCTAGCCTGAGGGTCTGATAATCAGTGCTGACCAATGCTACCACGATGCCGATACACACGAAGGCCATCCACCTGCTGCTGTGGACTCGACGTGCCGTTCACATTTTTTTCTTGAACGATGACTTATATGTGTTGTGGTTGCCGTCACCTTACTTGATCTAGGTTGTGGTTTTTGCGTGGCAGATGAAGACTAATGCTAGCCTGAGGGTCTGACAATCAGTGCTGATCAACGCTGCTACGATGCCAAAACAACCACTGCTGTGGACACAGCAGTGTGTCCATGTGTCGTTTACGTTATTTTCAACTCTCAACGATTGTTTTTGTTTTGTCGTTGCTGCTGTATATGGCTTGGTTGTCATATTTTACATGGGTGTGGCAGCTGAAGACGAATGCTCGTCTGAGGGTCTGACAATCAGTGCTGATCAACGCTGCTACGATGCCAAAACAACCACTGTTGCGGATACAGTAGCTAGTATGTCCATGTGTTGAATACGTATTTTTTTCAATAGCTCTCAACGATTGTTATTGTTGTTGCTGCTGCCGTATATGGCTTGCTATATTTTACATGGGTGTGGCAGATGAAGACTATTGCTAGCCTGAGGGTCTGACAATCAGTGCTGATCAACGCTGCTACGATGCCGAAACAACCAATGCTGTGGATACAGCAGTATGTCCATGTGTCGTTTGCATATTTTTTTCAACAGCTCTCAACGATTGTTTTTTGTTGCTGCTGCCGTATTTGGCTTGGTTGTTATATTTTACATGGGTGTGGCAGATGAAGACTATTGCTAGCCTGAGGGTCTGACAATCAGTGCTGATCAACGCTGCTACGATGCCAAAACAACCACTGCTGCGGATACAGCAGTATGTCCATGTGTTGGGTACGAATTTTTTTCAACAGCTCTCAACGATTGTTTTTGTTGTTGCTGCTGCCGTATATGGCTTCTTTTTTTGCATAGGTGTGGCAGATGAAGACGAATGCTAGTCGAGGGTCTGACAAATCAGTGCTTGTCAACGCTGCTACGATGCTATCGCATGCTCCGACCAAAATGTTACAAGTTAATAATGTACCTGTTATTGCATAGTCATGTGTCCTTGCCCCGCTCTGTTCGAATACATATGAGTGGAAGTATTTTACATACCCGCTGTTTTTTTCATACGCCAGGCCGAGAGAGCCCGACGCCGGGGGCGACGGAAAAAAAATAAACCAAAACATACACCGATATTTTTCAGTACCTTTGTCATCACCCTATCGCCGCTACGCACAAAGATGATGCGTTTGTGGTATTTTGTTAAGCCCAGCTTTTTGCCCCCTCAACGCTGCTAGACCTTGCAGGCCGAGAAGTCCGAGGACTGGGACGAACGAAAAAATGAATACTCAAAATGCAAACCTCAAACACGCCTTAGTTTCTTTTGTACGCCTGAAGCCTTTTTGTAAGCCATATTTACCACCGCTGCTATGGGTGCCTCTGCACGCCAGGCCGAGAAGCCCGAGGACTGGGACGAGGAGGAGGACGGGGAGTGGGAGCCGGCGATGATCAAGAACCCCGAGTTCAAGGGCAAGTGGAAGCCCAAGATGATCCCCAACCCGGACTACAAGGGCCCCTGGAAGCACCCGATGGTGCCCAACCCGGACTACAAGGAGGACAAGACGCTGGGGAAGAGGTGCACTGAGTGCACGCACGTTGGGTTCGAGCTGTGGCAGGTGGGGCTTGGCGGTGGTTCTGTACCGTGTTGGGGTGGGTGGGTTTTCGTGTGCGTGGGTGTCCACAGCAGTAGGTGTCCCGATATAGTGGCTCAAGGTTTGACGCGCATTGTACAGGGATTCTCCGTTTGAGTATAGGAGTGGACACTCGCGCCTATAGATGTGACCGGCGCTATATCGGTACCTCGGAACATATCGGTACTGTATCGGGACTCCTACTGCTGGAGTTTGTCCTTGAAGTCAGGGTTCGAGCTGTGGCAGGTGGGGCTAGGGTGCGATTCTGTACAGTATTGGGCCCTGTTTAAGTGCCGGTTGAATAGTGCCACCGTTCCGTTATATATTGCCAGTCAAATCTCAGGACAGGAGCGTCCACTCTCATATACTAGCACCTCGACCGTATATGACACATTATAACATACCCCCTGGAAGGATTTTTCAAAGCTCGATTACTCCATGACGAAGAGGATGCATAAACGAAATGATACATTTTCGAAACGCTATGAACGAGACGGTTTCAACGCCGCCGTTTTCGGCGCGGTGACTGTTCCTGCAGTTGAGAAATCGAGCTTCGAAAATCGGTCAAGGGGGTGTGTTATCTTGTGTCATATACGGTATATCCATCTTCTGAGTAGATGGTGTCGGTGGCCCGATGTAGTACCGGTAAAACCTGTAGGCACATATTCCGGGCACTTTATAGGACACACCACTGTATTGGGATGGGTGAGTGTCGTGTGTGTGTGCTTTTATTATTAGCATCGACCGCGCTAACCGGCTGACCGATGAAAAGACGTCAGTCTTAGTGCGGTTGACAACACAATACACTTCTATCTACCATGAAGTGGGACTCCGTGAGGGGGCAGCATGGGGGAGGCTAAACTATCCTTCAGATTAAAAACAGAAACAGCAGCAACAGACGAAAAATGCACGCGTCTACCAAGGCTATTACCTAGTACTCGAGTTCGTTTAGGAGTACTTTCACCAGTGTCCTCCTTGTTTTCGCTACCATCATTCTGATCCTCATTTCGACAAGAAGAATCTCTGGGCAGTTCTTCCCTAGCCCTACGTTTCTTGTTGTGGGGAAGGTCATCTGGCTCAAACCCTTTGCTCGCTTCCACTCCTCCATGTTTTCCTGCTCCATCGTCGTCTTCATCCTCCTTTCTCCCTTTTCCCTTTCCTTCGTCTTCGTCACTCCCAAAAGAATTACCCTCACCACTATCGTTGTCGCAGAGATCCCAACCGATTGGCCCTGGTGGAAGTACGTGTGTGTGTGTGTGTGTGTGTGTCTTGACCGCGCTGACCGACTGCCCAATGGAAAGACGTCAGTCTCAGTGCGGTTGAAAACGGATACAGTATATGACACGAGATAACACACCCCCCTGGACCGATTTTCAAAGCTCGATTACTCCACGACGAAGAGGATGCATAAACGAAACGATATATTTTCGAAAAGCTCTCGACGAGACGGTTTCAACGCCGCCGCCGTTTTCGGCGCTGTGCCTGTTCCTGCAGTTGAGAAATCGAGCTTCGAAAATTGGTCAAGGGGGTGTGTTATCTTGTGTCATATACGGTAACGCTTTGATTGGTCACGATATCGGGGATCCTGTGACCGAGCGTCATGGGTGTGTGTGTCGTTAATTTTTGCATCGACCGCGCTAACGGGCTGACCAATGGAAAGACGTCAGTCTCAGTGGGGTTCAAAACATGTAACGCTTTCCAAATGGCTGGGACCCCGTGAGGGGGCGGCGTAGGGGAGGCTAAGTTATTCTCTGGATTCATGACAGAAACGGTAGCAACGGCGTGTGTGTGTACGGTAGGTGTCCCGACACAGCAGTGCCTGTGCCCCGTAAAGTGCCGGCCACGTCTGTACAGGCATGGGTGTGCACTACTGTACTTAAACCTATATATTTTACCCCTGTTCTGAATAGTGCCTCAGTCCGGTATACTGCCGGTCAAATCTCAGGATACGAGTGTCCACTACTAAAAAGTAACACCTCTGATCGATTCCGTGGCAAACGAAAACGATTTCCTATTTGTTTGGTCAAAAACACAAAACGGAGTGAACTGCTGTTCCGTGGAACGGCCGGCACCATCTCCGGCGAGATGTTAGTGACGGACTCCCCGGCCAATGAAAACGAATGAAATCGATTCACGATTTGTTTAAACGAAAATGAAAAGAAACTAAAATATATATACATGAACTGCCCATCAGGTTACGGCGGGCACTATCTTCGACAAGATATTGGTGACAGACTTCCTGACCAACGAAAACGATTTCCGATTTGTTCAAAAAAGGTTTCGATCTGTACAAACGAAAATGGACATACAACTGTGTGTAAGAAAAGAAACTTGAAATGTCATCATCAGGTGACAGCGGGCACTATCTTCGACGAGATCTTGGTGACGGACTCCCTCGAGGAGGCTCAGAAGTTCGCGGAGGAGACGTGGGCGACCAAGAAGGACAAGGAGAAGGAGGCGCATGAGGAGCTGAAGAAGAAGCAGAAGGAGGAGGAAGAGGTAAGCTGTTGCTGCTGCTGCTGCTGCTGCTGCTGCTGCTGCGGTCGTGTTCAACGTTTCTGGAAAAGAGCGATATTTATAGTTGGCTCTCGTGAGGGACGGGTGAAAAGAAACATTTCTCGGGCTGTGACGGTTCGGGGCGGATTGGTTGGTATGTAGGTGTCGTTTCCGTTCTGCCGACCCCCTCCCCCCCCCCCCCCCCCCCCCCCCCCCCCC